AGTGTGTGTGTGTGTGTGTGTGTGTGTGTGTGTGTGTGTGTGTGTGTGTGTGTGTGTGTGTGTGTGTGTGTGTGTGTGTGTGTGTGTGCGCGCGTGCGTGTGTGTGCATGCTTTTTTCCTTTTTTGTGGTAAAAAGGGGGGTCCGGACCCCCTCGACCCCCCCCTCTGGATCCGCCCCTGCATGATAGCCGCTACATGGTAGCCGCCATTATACTGTCTAGCCATCCGATTCAGAATTGTCTCGAACAATAATTTATCACCAAGCATCTCAATGAGACGTATAGTACGGTAGCCAGACTGCAGCACGGGCAAGTGAGCTGTAACCCGCCAGCAGTAGTCACACTATATATGTGACAGTCGATATGTGCCATCGAAACAGGAGCGTATTAATGAGTATGCGCATTATGTGTATGTGTATGCGTATTAGCGATGATGTGTAGCGCTTAGGGTTTGTGAAGCCTATCCGCATAGTTGTTATTATAACTCTCGTAGCCTATCGATAGCACGTCTATTCGATCCTGGCGGATAGGTTGCTAAAATTCTATTTTTAACAGTTTTTAATTATGCTGAGTGAGGAGCTCTCTTTCGTGTCTAATGGTAGTATATTCCAATGGTATGTTAGTAGGCCTCCTTAGTAAGTGAGTCGTGACCATACATATTATTTGCTTTTGTTTTACCATTTTACTTTCCGTGTCCTCGAATTTAGTGCGATATTTGTCAGGTAATGATAAGGAATTATTTCTGAGCGGTTTGGCAAGGTATTTGTATATAAATATAAGTGTGTAGTATTTAATTAGCTATTCTATTGGAGGCAAATTTAGTTGTTCTCTAATTCTAGTAGCTGCTCCTGCCTGTCAGTGTTTATATAATAAATTATGATGTAGGATATTTGTGGGAATTACCTTTTATTATGCGCAGAGCATATTTTTGTAGTGTGTGTAGTCTGTCAAGAGCTAATTTTGTAAGATTTTTTAGCAATGTAGAACCATATATGAGGGGTTGTAGTGTGGGTGGGGGGGGGGCGATTTGTGTTTTCACATTCCCACTATAATTATTATATCAAATGACACGCTCCTCGATGTTTGTATCCGGTATATTGTGGTATATATTTAAAATATACCCGAGAGATGGCGTCGCAGTCTTCCTCTTATACCCGCGGCCATTGCCGAAGGTAAAGATATTCTTGTGCTTGTGTTATATATCATTATTTCACCCGCTAATAGACAATTTTTGGTGCTAAATTGATATTAGTTGGATTTTTACATGTTATAACTTTCTTTCTACTATTGCAATTTTTTTTGATGTTTTGTGTTTAGCGAACTGGGAACGGATAGATGTGTAGCTCTTCGTGTTTACGTCCCATGATATATACTATAACTACCGATCAACTTTCTTAGGCTAAGATATTAGCTGTCTAAACCTACCGTTAAAAATTAATTGCAGTTGTTTGCATAGATGTAATCAGTTACGTCGCTACATTTGTTGTGATTGTTATAATTCTTAATCTTTAAAAGCATCTTTCTCAATGAATGCGAATATGTGTTGTGACACATCGTAACTTTGAGTTTGAGTTTTAACAGAGTGGCTATAATTATATGCCCGGCAGCCGGGGCCCAAGGATACAGAACATGGGTCCCAATAAAACCAATGTGCCTAACCCTAATCCTAACCATAACCCTAACCTATTATATTGATATAATATTATATTTATATTGATGTAAATGACATTCGTTTTATTGGGACCCATGTTCTCTATCCTTGAACCGTAGCGGCCATATATCTGACGGCTGCCGGGCATATAGCCACAGCGAACTTTTATTTTAACTTTCCACCAGAATTGTTTTTGGAGGAAAATTTGCCTTATAACTTGTTGTGCTAGTCCTGTATATATTTACACCTAACAATGCGATGGCCAGTTAGGAAAAGCGTTGCCGGGAGTCAAAATATAAATGGTGCAACCCCCATAGCAGCGCACGATGGATCGTTGTCGTATAATTGCGTATAATATGTACCCGAGGTAACTATTTGATAGGGTTAGGGTGTTAGGGGGAGTAGGCGTATGCGACATACTCGCTGACACCTCGTGTACTATATACTGGGTACATATACGACAACGACCGCTTCAGCCATAGCAGCGCATTGCTTGCATAGTAAAAGTGGTGAAATGGTCTGGGATTGTGATAACATGGTGGCCACTAGTTTTTACATTTTATATCTTGCTTCTCGTGTATAGACTAATGTTTCCAATCTGTTTATTTCAGATGTTTTCGCAAGCTGCAAAGATAATAAAGCCCAACGGTGAAAAGCCTGATGAGGTTGAGCAACAGATCTCGCAGGTAAAGCTCTAATTCGATGAGTGTACATGATTGGGATTCATGAAACATATTTAGTGCGTTTGATTTGCTTCTCCAGAGCCACCTGGGTTAACCTGGGTAAGAAATCGAACGCATCTGGGTTAGGGAAGATAAACGAACGGTTTTTGGGTTAACCCGAGTTAATTATCATCATGGATGCCAGTGACAAGAAAAAAAGAATAGCAATTGCAATCTTATTATTAATGAAATCTAAGAATGAGCAAACACACACAATCATCGACAGTCATGCTTTTTGAAGATTTCGTTGCAATAAATTGTGGGATACTTCCCCAAGTGAGCAGCTGGGCTAGCGGGTTACTTCGGCCTTACCCGGGTAACCCAAAAATACCACATGACTGCCAAATCGAACGTATTTGGGGCTGGCCCGAGTAGACTCGGGTAAACTTGAGGAAGCAAATCGAATGCACTAATTGTAGTTTCATTAGTGTACCTGCAATGGTAATACGATGGATAATCGAATAGCCATGTGGATCCAAGATATAGTCAGACATCAAAATACCAACGTATAATTAGTTGGCTGAGTCTCCGGACATCTCCACAGCTAGTGTAACTTGTAGTAGCTTATATATATATTATAAATAAAGCTAGATTACTATATCGTAAAGGTGAGAGTCGATATAAAATAGGTCTGTCGGGTCAACTATAATACATTTATTTTCTTTGAAATTATATATGTAGTTGTTTAGTCTGTTTTGTTAATTCCCCTTGGAGTCGATGACCATGCCTTAATTTAAAAATCCTGTGCATAAACGATAAGGTTGACCTACTTACGCTCTTTCAAGAGCTCGGCTCAGTATATGGAAGAAGAAGAAGAAGTTGGGTTGGGCTTAGGGATATAGTGGTTATGTATGATGATACTGTTTGTACAAGGGTCTTAAAGTAAGCTTGATCCTGAAATCATACCAATTGATGAAGCGTACTGATTTTTGTTGTTATACTTTAAGGCTCTCCTTGAGCTGGAGATGAACAGTGATCTAAAAGCCCAGCTGAGAGAACTACACATCACTGGTGCCAGGGCAAGTTTCTAGTTGCATTGTTGCACATACCATCGCGTGTGCCGACTATAGAACGATGTCTTGGCGGCCACCTCTAAGAAATTTTCGGCACTCACCTTGAGTGCCAATTGCAGAGTAAAACGACCTCTATAGATCAATTCAGCGATCCAGTTCATAAAGGACAATTTTGCCTGATTACTTATTGTATTCTATACTGTCAAGTCTGACTGTATTTAAATTATGTGTAAACTCTGCACTCGAAAAATTCTGCCGACTATAAAGTTCTTCGCTTTTATGGCCATTGTGCTTCGGTTATAAAAAGTGATTTTGTTATTCTTTTAGGAAATTGAACTACCAGGCAGAAAAGCAGTGATCATCTTTGTTCCTGTGCCACAGCTGAAGGCATACCAAAAAATTCAGACTCGTCTAGTACGTGAGCTGGAGAAGAAATTCAGTGGCAAGCACGTCGTTTTCATTGCCCAGGTTCGTCTAACTTGTAAATCTGTCTAGTTTGCCCCCTCGCGTGAAGTTGGAGTGACTGTAAGTGATGATCATATTCAATCCAACTCCCAGCAATTTAAAAAAAACTTGCTATGCAGACAACCGCTACTGATGCAGTCCTCATCCTCAGTTATTGCAAGTATGTCTGGCTACTAAGCTATTTCTCTAACATGATGAGTTTTGCTGTTATTTTTCATTTCAGAGGCGCATTTTAGCAAAACCTACAAGGAAGACGAGAATTAAGAACAAGCAGAAGAGACCAAGAAGGTTTGTAATTTGCATTCTTGTTTAGAAAGCTACACATCTGGTTAATTAATACTTGATAGCATGTGTTCTCTTAGGAGTCGTTCGCAATTATCAACATTTCCACAAGTGTACAAAGAGTGCACTTTTTCGAGACCCCCTCCCCCCCCTAAAAGTGTACGAAGAAAAATGTTGATTTTTTTTCACACTATTCTACATAGAGATACATCTATATGAATTACATGCAAACCCTGTTATAATGAGCACGGATATAACGAAATCTTGATATATAAAGTCTTAAAGAATGAAATTTGCTTGCACAAACAAGTAGTAACAGATCAAAATTATTAAATACTGTTTATAGTAAATAAGATTTCATTATAACAAGCATAATTTGGTGGTCCCAATGACCTCAATATAAAGGGATTTGTCTGTAGTCGTGGCGTGAAGATGCGCGTGATGCCGGCTGGGGTGCGCGGCGCGTGAAATGGATCAACATTTTTCGGAAATGCTGAAAGCGTACGGCGGGCATTGACCCCCTCCCCCAGCATAATCGGTTGTCAACGCTTGTGAAAATGTTAATAATTGTAAACGACCCCTTAAACTTTAAATGTTCTAATATCTAATCAAAGCTATATTGCTACTCTGAGAGAAAAAACCTAAAATGAAGAGTTGCTAGCTCATTGTTTGGACGGCACAGTTTGGTTTCGCTTTATAAGAAGTGACTATTCTGTTATAATGACTGTAAAATAGATTAGCAAACATGATGGAATCCCCCAGCTGCTGCCTGATCTTGACATTTTGTTAACATTGCTTTATCGTTAATGTAGACACCAGTGGTTGCCAAACCTTTACAGACCACCGCCTTTGCATCATACCCCATCCCCAATGCCCCGCACTCTGCCCAATATACACTTACCCCTGCCACCTAATGTCAGCCTAGTTAATGCTACAATGGCTGCTGGGGGGGGGGGTGAGGTGGCGTCACGCCACTTACGTTGGGAAAGACTAAGTATAGATTTTGGATTCTAGCCGTACCCTGACATCGGTACATGATGCTATCCTAGACGATCTGGTCTACCCAGCTGAAATTGTTGGCAAGAGAATCCGAGTGAGACTGGATGGGTCCAGAATGATTAAAGTGCATCTAGACAAGGCACAACAAACTAATATTGAACACAAGGTAATGGGTAGAAAATTTCTTTTTTGATGTGTTGTATTCTAGTTGTTGTGGTAGTTAGTAATAACAAGCGCGCTGGTAATTCATCTAATCAAGAGTGTATTAAGTGTGAGAGCGTACAACGGTGAAATGCAACAACCATGTTGTAGTTTCAGTGGAATTAGTAAACTTTACCTGTTTTATTTTGACAATTCCTTGAGGTGTTATTATTCAGCAATCCTACCTTGATACTATAAAACCACCTGCTTGTCCATACGATGTCCCTACGCTGAGATATTGAGAGGTAAAATCTAGTGTTTTGGCGAAAATCGAACTCTAGTTGGCAGCTAGCTGCAACTGTCTCGCGTTTAGTGGACAGTATGTTGCTTCCGGTCGCTGCTGTGTAGCGCTGACTCATTACGTCATTACTACAGTTTACTAAATCCAGGGTAAGAGGCAGGTCATCACCATGGCGATAAATAACAAGACGTTATTGTGGAGTAATGGCTGCATTCATGACTGGAAATGCAAGAAAAGATAGTAGAAGGAAAAGGAATTCCATTTGTCAATGAATGACGGAAACCCCCGAGGTTTCCTGATGTCATTACTAATTGTGAGACAGTCGCAGCTAGCTGCCAACTTGAGTTCGATTTTTGACAAAATACTAGATTTTACCGCTTAATATCTCGGCATAGGGACATCGTATAGACAAGCGGTTGGTTTTACATTATCAAGGTAGGACTGCTATATAATAATACTGCAAAGAATTGTCAGTCAAAATAAAACGGTCAAAGTTTACTAATTCAATAATTTCTACTGAAACTACAACATGGTTGTTGCATTTCACCATTATACGCTCTCTTACTTAAAGTGACTACGTCACGAATTTTCTATGGTAAAATTTGTAAAATTTTTGTTGCTATTTTTTTACATTAAAAGTAAGAACTAACAAGACTAAACGTATCGTCAAATTCTTACCTGATAAGATTGTTTCTCAACTAGCTAGAAATCCAAAAAACCTGGACGATTTGATATTAGTGTTCATAACATTAATTGCTTGCTATAGTCACGAGTGTATGTTCACATCGAACAATATAGTAAAATAAGAAGTATAATGCAGCAATTTAACCATAAAAAGTGAACAGAATCACTTGTATTCTGTGGAAAAGTTTTGAAAAAAAGTTTTTATTTTTTTTATTATTATATACGGTGACGTAATCACTTTAATAAGCTCTTGATCTAATTCTGTGCTGTTGGTTATATAATATATTTATCTATATTTATTATCTACTCATGCTATAGCATATGTCTTAGAGGTTGCTTTATCTCTTTTTTGCAGACTGACACGTTCTCTTCCGTATACAAAAAGCTAACCGGCAAGGAGGTTAACTTTGAATTCCCGGATCAGCAAATGTAATGTACAGGCCACGATGAACGGCGAATAAAAAAATATCCAAGAAATTGTTTTGTTGGGTTTCTTGTTATTTTCTGTGATTACATAATACAGGCTTACTCATCACCTAAGTGCATAATATAAACGAGCATTAATTTCCCTCTTATCTATTACTGTAGCATGTTGTAACTAGTGTTTTATTATGACTACTTGCTTAATTTTTAGCTCACCTTGACATCGTCAAGCTGAGCTATTGCCATGGGTCGTCGTCCGTCCGTCAACATTTGGCTACGGTCAATGATAACTCAGGAACCGTTTGACCCACATGTTTGAAATTGGGTATAGTTGTTACTGCTACGCTCCCATATTGAACGTCCTATTTTGGAGCACGCCAGTCGACGTACTTTCGAGCCACGGCAATTTTTTGGCAAAAATTGGAATTGCCATTAGTCAGTTTAGGTTCAACGGATTTTGCTCATTTTTGGTATGTGAATGAATAAGGGCTAATGGTTTTGATATTTATAAAAAAATTAAGTAGGTTTTTGCAATTATATAGCATATAATATAGACACGCAGATAACAGTCTGTGATGTCACACTCGTCTGGTTCGTTTTACAAGATTTCATTGACAATATTTTTAATGCAAAATTGGTATTTCCTCTCCACCCTGCCGATAAAACGTCTATA